TTTTGTCTAATCTGTGATTACTTAAGGGTATTTTAAATGAAAACACACTTTTATCCTCAGTTTTTAGTTGATGTGCATGCATGACAGAAGAGAATTTGAAAAGAAGGAACCGATTTTATGCCACTGTAACCGATTTCAGACATTGCAAAGAAGGACCTTCCCAGCTGTGAATCAAGCTTATGAGTTGCTGAATATTTCTCTGAGCTTCTCAAAAGTGGTGTTAAGCTGTTAATACAACTTCCATGGTGGTCCAAAAAGATGACGATATTGAAGATGAAGAAGAAAGAACCAATTCCCCTTGATGTGTAACCGATTCCAATTATGCTACGCTTTAAAGTAATGATAGATGAAATTATCATTTTGTTTTTAATTTTAATTTTTTTATATTGTAACCATTACATCATTAATATAATTCTTTTTTTCAATTTTTGATTTCTTAAATAAATATCTTTATTTTTTTTAGTTTTCACATATTTTTTCTTCTTTCCTTTTCTATTCTTTTCCCTTGGCCGAACATAGCCTTAGCAAATATAATTTCCATTTATTTTAAATTTGATAAAAGATATTTTAAGATATATTTTTCAATTTCAAAAAATATAACAATTGAAAGAAAAATATCTTCTTAGGATATTTTATGATGTATTAATTATTTGTTAATTTTTTCAATTCTACTATTTCAAATAATTTAAGAAAACATTACTTATAAATATTATTTTAATTATTAATGTAAGAACGTAGAAAATAGAGTATTAAAATTGATAGGTGTTTTAAAATTTGGAGACTAATTATTTTAATGTTAAAAAATTTGATGATATAAATAGAATTTTAAATGTGTCTCATTATCTAAACTACTTATCATCTCTCTAAAACCTTTTCTTTAGACTTCATCTCCCTTCTCTCTAAGATTGTTACACTGAGTTATATATTTGAATATCGAAAGGTGCCTAGATGAACATGACAATATATTTGTTGAATATGTTATAATTTGAGTGAAGTGTGTATCCTAAGAGTGAATAATTGCTTATTGATGATTATTATAGTGTATGTTAGTGTGAATGATGCTTGGTTGAATTTGTAATCTTGCTATTTTGGAGTTATATGAGATCTAATTTGTTATAGAATTGATAATAGTGAGGAGGGAATGTTGTTGGGCTGATTTTTGGTTTAAATTGAGGTTTTGTAGGTGAAGTTCTTAAAAAGTGATTTGAAACTAAAATTTATGTTGGAAACTTGTCTAAAACTTCAAATAACCATGAATTTGATGTTGAGTTAATAAATAGTCAATAGGTTGACTTTAAGTTGCTTTTGGTCAATTTTTAGAGGTTTTAATAGGTGAAATCTAAAGGAGCAAGTATAAGTTAAAAATGAAGGTTTATGGTCTTTTTTAAGTTAATTGTGACTTATTTAGACCCTTAGTTTGCAAATTTTTGGTTTATAATGTGTAAAATTGGTTATAGGTGTTTTGAGTCGTTTAGTTTATTCTAATGCATTTTGTTTCTTACAAAATGAGTTATGTAGTATTCAATTTCATCCATAAACATGTTTTTACATTAGTCTTAGTGTCAAGAAAGTTAGTTTGGTCATTTGGATAGGTTCAAGGTGCATCTAAATCACTACAACAAGTTGTTGTCATCTGGTATGACGTTGAACGGTCTTGTGTGACGCTTAATGTTGTCAAAATCGATAGCCCCTGGGCTCCAAGGCATTAGCACCACTTTGGGAACTGAGCGCTACAAAGTCAATGAGCTCTCTAACTTTTGGACATTGAGCGGTGTAGTTGAGCAATGAGCGCCACTTGCTTACTATAGGTTTGGCACTAAGTGCCAAGGTTCTGGCTATAGGCGCTTGGTTAACAGTTTGGGTTTTTATTTTCTTTTCTTTTATTTCTTATGGATGAGAGATATGTTGATACTTTAAATTTTGTTTGGTAATATATATGAATATTATGACGGTTTATGCATGGGGTTATATGTGTATGAAGTATGGTTTGAAAAGAGTTTCTAAGGTGAATTTTGTTATGGTTGTTTCAAGTAGAGTAATGTATTGATGTAGGGACTCCAACATTGGAAGTTATCCTGACCCCAATAATCACTCTATCTTAGGTAGAGAAGGGAACTATGTGGTGAGGAGTAGCATGAGGTCTTAGTTTGTGGTCTGGTGTTCTTTGTCCATAGGCCGTTAACAGACTAATCTTGTATGGTAGCTTGGGGGAGCAGTTGTTTTACTTACAAGTATACAACTTGCTATAGTCTTGCATGATTTGATTATTTTATAATATTAACTTATCCTTCTTATGTTGTTATTTGATTGTGTTATTCTATCACTTGAAATGATCACATGATGGGTGTGAACAAAGGAAGATGAAGTTTCTTTGGAGTAGGCTCTAGGAGGTGAAAGAGTAGATTCTTAGTTGCTTAGTATAGTTAAAGTCTTTTTAAGGTTATAATCTAGAATTTGTCTGTAAATAAGTAAATATTAGAGTTATGTATATGAATTTGAATTATAGTTCTTTTGGATAATGTATCGATATTTTTATATACCTTCTTAGTTAATTGTTCTAGTTTATTGATTTTGTGATGTTTCCTTAATATGTTTCATACTATTTAAAAGAGATGTTCCAACTATTACCATTAAGGACATTATATAAATATTCATTTTTATCTATTAAAACATTTTTTTAATCTATTATATTAGTCAAATTCTTCACAAACTTTATTTTCAAATCCACTTCAATAACCCCTAAATCCCTTTAAAAAAACAACATACACTTTACTTTAAAGTCCCCTGAAATCCATCCATTCACTTTTCCTAAAATCTATCCTCACAAGTGAACATAATCTTAATATCTTACTTGCCAACAATTTGTTTTAGTTCTAAATATAGATATAAGATATAAATCCAATTTCATCTATTTTTCCACTGATATTTTGTTTTTCAAAAACAAAAAAAATTCTACGGGTAAAATTTGTTATGGGTTTAGGCCGGATTCGGTTGAAAAAATAATTAAAAAGTGTTTCTCCTTTCATTACCTCACATTTCTCCCTACATTTTCACATTCCAAAAGTAACCCTCTTTAACGAATTTCAAAATTCGTTGAAGCTTTAAAAAATGTGGGGTGATTGTAAGGAGAAACACTCAATTTAAACTTTCCATATAAGACAATTTTGAGTTCGACCCACTAAGAACTTGACTCACCTGGATTGACTCATAAATCCACCTAATTATTACTTTGTGTTTCAGTATTATTACTTAACACTATTTTTTTTTATTGAATTATAAATAAGAATAAAGAAGAAAATGCTATAAGAGAGCAAAATATTGTGGACTTTTCCATTGAAGATTCTAATCTTATAAATGGATAAGTGACACAAAAATTATGAATGTTAGATACTTATTTATTTTGCTTTTAGTGCTTGATTTTTGCTTGATTTTAGATTGTGTTTGGAGTTTAAGATGATTTTGAATTGTATTATATATTTTTTATTTGTCTATGAAGTTTAATATCCTTTTGGACTTAAATTTATTTATATTTGAATTAGAAAAAAATTGTTATATTTTTTGGAATTAAACAAAAAACTTGTAAGTGAACTAGGTTTTGTTGGTTCACTAAGTAACCAATCTGTGGTAGACCGAGAGTCGAGTTGGATGACCCATTTTAACATCATTAATTAATATATTTAAGGTATGCAAAAATATCTTTTTATTTAATACCTTCGACTCCAAATACTAAAACTACTAATAATTAAAAATTAAGGAATTAAAATTATAGGATAAAAATTAGTAATTAAAATTTAATATTTTTATAAGATAGGAGCTAAAATTATAATTTATCAAAAAATCAATTTTAAATTAAAAAAACTAGAAAAAAAAAAATATATATAATATATATATATATATATATATATATATATATATATATATTTCCGGTAGGGTTTGGAGGTCTCTTGCTAAAACACTCCTGGTTGTACTTAAGACTAGATGGACGTTGAAGACCAGACAAACGGACTTTGTTCGAAGCGCTCCAAGTTGAAGACCGGACCGGGCGGGCTTTGCTCCAAGCGAGTGGACGGACGTTGCTCCATGCACTAGGTTGAAGACCGATGAGACGTTTCTCCATGCACTCCAGGTGGTCGTCCACCTCCTTCTCCAAGCTGGGCGGACACCTCTCAAAGGCACTCCGACGCTCAAGTTAGTAATGTAACCGAGCGGTAAGTAATGCATGTATATAATGCATCGTGTCTAAAGTCATACTTGAGACCTTTATTTATACTTAGTTGTGATGAGCTTTTACCTTTTGTCGGCCTAATGACGGTCCAATCGCACCTTAACCTTCATTAGGGACCTCCATTAGGGGGTTAATGAGTCATTATCGTTTATAATCTAACCATGTGGTTGGCTCGGCCGGTAGTTAGGCGGCTGATGGACGGTCAGCTTAATAATCAGCCGCTCAGTCGGCCTTATCTGAGGACTGTCTAGTCCGGTGGTATGGGTAGACCATTCGATAAGCGATAGAGTATGGAGACCGAATGATTCCATCGGTGTATGAAGGAGCAGGGGACCATTATACATATATACATATATACATATATACATATATACATATATACATATATACATATATACATATATACATATATAGATATATATATATATATATGTGTGTTTTTTTTTTTGAGAGTGTACATAGAAATTACATTTACCTCTTTTAAAATTCTTGATAAATGTTATTTATTTATATTTTTCGGACACTTACCTCTTTTTCATGAAGAATAATTTAATTTTAATTTTATTATTATTGTTATTATAATTTTAGTATAAGATAATACAATATTTTAAATAAATTAAATTTGCAAAAAGAAATTATTTATTAGAAAATTTTAAAAATTTGAATATTATCTTATTAAAAGCATAAAAAAAAAGATGAATGTGTAATAAATATCATGTAGCATATATTATGTAGATAACATGTAAATTGCCCCTTTCAGAAAGAGAAAATGTCTACAAGGAGGTCCCATCGTCATGAGTCATGCTTGTGAGTGGAAGAATAGTTCCACTTCTTGTACCTCACAATACAATCCTCTCACTTACCCTTAACACGCAAATTAAGGCTAAAGAACAATCTGGAGCAACGCATAGACTTCTCAGAGGCTCACCCTTTTCCATGGCCTGATTCCTACCAAGAACGAATCTTGAAAGTTACATATAATAAAACAAACAGTCATGCTTCTGGTGCCACCAAGGGCCAGGTAATTCAATCCAATCTCTAATCTTTCATCTCTAATTTCTAACACAAAGAAAGCACACTCTTGTTCCTTTATTGGCTCTTCCATATGACTCTTCATCAAGTTTTTTGGCTAGTGTTATTCTGTGCCATGCCATCTTGCCTCCACTACACCTTAGATTCTCTCTCCTCTTCCATCTCACTTCAATTTTAAAAAGGTTTTTCCTTTATGCTCAGTGCTGTATTATTGGGAAGAGAATCCAACTGGGTAGTCTTTACTTTGCTCAAATAAGCTTCTTTGGGAATCTTTGTCACCCCAACATCTAAATTTGAGAATACTATTCGACATCATTCCTGGGCAATTGTTTAGTCAGATATATATTCCTTGATCAGGACCCCTCAAAAATGAATTCTTTGACTGTTTTTTGTTCTAGGTATATGCTTCTTTGCATATATTCCATATTAAGTCTGTGTGCGTCTGTTTTACATAATATATTGGGAAGGTTTTCTGTGTTCTATTCCATTTTCATATCATAGTGGTAGTTAATTTCAAATGGATGTTGCTGACGCACCATTTTGTTGAGACTGCTGCTGATTATTCTTTTGGGGTGCAGAAAGAACACATGGATGATGGAAATGCTGAGCTTTCTGATAAGCTTTCAAATAATGTTCTATTTTTGAATCCAGAGTCATCTAGCAGTTTTCAGGCTTCAGCATCTGTGAACACAGTTCCTGAATTATGTAGGAGTAGCAGCAGAACATGCACCCACACTCACACTTGCAACCCACCTGGCCCTGATGCTGCTCACACACACACATGCTATCACACTCACACCCAAATATTTGCACCTGAAGATGATGACCACAAGGAGCACACCAACTCCAAATCAAAAAGGCCTTCTGGCAACCGAGAAGCAGTTAGGAAGTATAGGGAGAAGAAGAAGGCACACACAGCATACATGGAGGAGGAAGTTAAGAAATTGCGTTTGGTGAATCAGCAACTAGCGAGAAAACTACAAGGGCAGGCACTTCTTGAAGCAGAATTGGCAAGGTTGAGGAGCATTTTGGCACTCCTAAAGGGGAAAATAGACAGTGAATTGGGTGCTTTCCCCTTTCAGAAGCAGTGTAACTCTTACATTCTGAAAGAAGGGGATGCTGGTTTGCTTTCTACTGCAAGGACATATGGCCTTCAGTGTCAGAACAAGTTGCCATGCTTTCATCCACATGCAGGATCATCATCCCAGGTCAACATTTGTGCATATGGAAAGTCCGTGAGTCCATGGGAAGGAAACTGCCAACCTGAAATTGTAGATTGTCATGTTGATGCAAATAACTTGACCAGTACTGAAGGACAAACTGTTGAGACAGTGGATAACTTCTTGTCATCTGCATCTCAAGAGTGATGGTTTAGGCCCATAAATGTCTTTCTTCTCAATTGCTGTCACTGATACTAGGTAAGATGATGTACATTTAGTTAGTGTTACCTAAAAGGTTTGTTTCTTACATCATAAAGTGAGTCATGAAGTTTGCATTCTGCAATCTATAGGATATGTATATATATAGGCAATGTATATTTAGAGATTTGTACAATATGTATGCTAGCACACATAAAGTAAGTGTTCTACTTCTTGATAAACAGATTTTGTTGTGTATTAAGTTTATATTGCTAAATAAACTAGTACTTCAAATTTAATTTTGCTATTAAAAACTAATATTTTTTCCTATATTTAATGATGTAAACATTAGATATTGGATTTATTAGGATTGGCTGCTGTATAAGCCACTCATCATGTGGATTTTTTCATTTGAGAAAATTCATAGTTCAGTTTTATCCTTTTTCAATCTTCTGAACCATGGATTATAACTGAATGACTGGTATGAAAGACATGTATGTTGAGTTCACGTATGCATCATATGATTGGAAATAAGAAAAATGAATTTTACCAAATTCTACCTTCAAGAGTAGCAATTTCTTAACCTCCAGCATATTCTAAAGATAAGCCTCGAAATATTAGGTTGCAAGTTAATTAATTTAATGTGTAAATGGATGTTCTCTTATATGTTTTTAACTTCAAAGAATAAGATTAGACATTTTACTGTTCATAGATCATTCTTAAGAAAATAGGGATAATGTTTATTGGTTTGCCTCGATATCATTATGTTCTTGGATACGTTATAAGAACTAAAGAAAGTTGAATTCAACTTATTATTCACTAGATGGCACTATGTGTTTACAATCTCACACTAGTGGTGTCTATCCAAACTAGAGTGCGACATCATGCTGTTTGTTGTCTCCAACCTTTCGACGACTTCATTCCATTTTACTGTAGAGTGTTGTGAATAGTAAAATTCCTAACATACTTGACCATTTTCTCATATTGGTTTAAACAATAGTAGCATCCAATGTTCGAATTTTTTGAATTAATTTATTAATGAAAAGCGAATCTTAATAGTTTATGTATGTTAAGAAAAACTATTGTTGTAGCATTTTATTTAATAGTGTAAAACTACTAAATACATTATATATATGATAATTATTAAGCAGAAAAGACTATTATATTATAGTCATCCATATAAGTATGTACTACACGTAGATAATTATATAACTAAATTAACATAACAGAGTTTTCTTTAAAAAAAAAACATTACACATAACAAGATCACCCTAAAATTATATTATTGTATCACTCTTGTCCTGCACTAAATCAATGGTTACATCATCTGCTCACATTATTAAGGTAATCATTGCAAAGAAAGAGAACACGCAGAAAAAACAATACAAAATAAATGATAAGCTAATGTGCAAAAAAAGTAATAATAAAACATGTATAGATATATTATCAAATATAAATCATTCATAACAACAACCATATCACATACAAAGACTCATATTAGACTCGACGATCCAGATACACGTATTGATATAAAACTCTAGCGAGTTATGCTCTTGTGATGGTCTCTACTGCTCTATAGAGTCATTATCAATGGGTTTCACCATACCACACACACGGTTAGTCCATTAACATCTTTAGCCAAGGAAAAGGCCCTAGACTTGGACCTCCTTCTCTTCTCATCACATACTTCACCCTTCTCTACTTGAGATTAGATAATTATTAGAGAACCAAAATAACTCCCAATATTGAATCCATATATCAATACGTAAACTATTGTAACCACAACTAATCCTCCTTGGATTAGTACCAACCATTATAAGATTAACATCATAAACCAATCATCATTTTAACATTTACAAAATTGCACATTAAACATATCAGAAGAGAACATATAAATATAGTTATACTTTGTTAATTTCACGAGAATATTTACTCGCTCAACAAGTAGTGTCTCAGAGCACACTCGTAAAGCGACCAAATAGCTCGCCCTATGAGATTATCACTAGAACTCACAAGCTTATACTCTCACAAAAGTTGCTCAACAAGACTTGTCTCACCCAACTTTGGCTTTGCCCAACGAGTGTATTCTCGCTCAACAACTATCAAGTTAGTAACTCGATGACTTTGACTTCTACCAGCGAGTATATTCTCGCTCAACGAGTATACTCTCGCTTAGCGACAACCAAGTTAGTAGCTCTTTAACTTTGGCTTCACATAACAAGTATATTCTCGCCTAATGAGTCTACATAATTTTGAAGAACATCATTTTTGCAGATTTATGTTATCTCAGTCCTACAACTTAGTCCAAAAACAATCACAAATGTCAAAACATACCAACTATCAAATTGTACATTACTTAATGACCCAATTTCAAAATACAATTCATGTAAGCCAAATTAAATCCTAACTCAACTCTACATATCATATTTCATTAAACATCTTAATCACACAAACAAAATATCATACATGTACACAATTAGAAATTACAAGGTATCTATCAGTTAAAAGTGATGTAATTAGCTTTCCTTACCAAAAAGAGAGGCCAAACTGTTCAAAAACCCTAAAAACACCTCCAGACACATATGAAGTTCTATCTACCCCTATGAACAACACAAAAATGATTTAAAATATAGGGAAACACTAGAAGGGGAGGGGGGAGGTGTTTGAATAGTGTTTCAAATTTGTTTCACAGAACAATGTTTAATAACTATTGTGAGTGTTAGACAAACTGCAATAGTTGTTAGATGCTTGTGTTTTCAAATAAGCGTTTAGGAAAACGTTTTTAATAGGAGAAATAATAACACAAGTATTTTTATATTTGTTCACTTAGCCTTATCTACGTCTAGTCTCCCTTAAGACCTTTTAAGGGATTCTACTAATCTTTAACAAGATTACAACTAGTATAACCCACACCTAACAGACAAGTATTATGAATCACTTGTGGTTCTTGTAGTCAACCTAACTAGTTTGAGGTTAATCGATCCTAGTATCAATCGTAGACAACAGTCTATATCGTTTAACTCAACTGAGTTAAACATTACAAGTGTTTTAATTCACTTTTGAATATACAAAGACAATCAGTGTTTTAATTCACTTCTGAATATACAAAGATAATCAGTGTTTTTAAGTACAAGCACATATTCAAATAACTCTCTAAGAGAGGGTAAATTCAATACAATGAAACTTGATAACTTGAAAGACTTTTTCTTGTTGAAAGAGCAGACTAGGCGATGTAAGCTTTGAAAGAGATTAACAGCGTAAGAGTTCAATGATAGCTAATTGTTCTTTTTATATTCTCTTCACCAAGTCCTCCTTTTATAGTCATTTTCAATAAAGATTAGTTACTTTTGGGAAGATTTGTACACTTGAGAGTAGGTGGCTTTTGGTACAAAGATTTGTACTTTTCTACATCTTGGGAAGAGCAGCATTGCTTTAATAGTGAGAGCTTGTACGACAATAACAATACATAAAACTTTAAGAAAACATTCCAAGAATGTCTTTCTATCTGTCAACATCTTTCTTATCCATATGTAGGGCTTTTGAATAAAGCTTGGTATTGTCATTATCTTCATAGATAAAAAGAAAAAAAGAAAAACAGACAAAGGTACAATATGTTCATGCATATAATGTTCTTACGTTAAGAGAACGTTTAAGCATGTGTGAGCTTTAGTGTTGTATATTAAACTTTAAAACTCGAGTTGCTAGACAATCTAGTTTCTCTAAGAGATATTGTCTTACAAAGAACAAGACACACCATTAGGATCATTGATCAATAAAGACTAGTAAATAAAATTCAAACACTACATGTGAGCTAAAAAAGGTCACATGCAAAGGAAGAACAAATAGACCAATAAAAGGAACAGAGAACCAACTTAATCTATTGAAGAAACTGATCGAACAGAAGTGGAGAGCTCGTCCCAAGGATCACTCAAGCGTCTCCGAACTTCAAACAGATGAACATAAGGTGAGAAAAACCTAGAAAGAAGGGAGAGAGATCTAGGAGGAAGGTTTTTATGGAGAATGTGTGTTTTTAAATAATGAAACTCATTTATACTTTAAACTTTTAATATTAAAAATAATTTAGTCTCACAATTTTAAACACTATCAATTCTAAAACACAATTTTCTAAACTCTTTCAATTTTAAACACTATCAATTCTAAAACACAATTTTCTAAACTCTTATATAAGTGTACGTAATTCAATTAAACTTAGAGTTATTTATCATAGAAATTTTGTCTAGGTTGATTAATGATATATTAGTAAAAAATGTTATATTAATGATCTTGAATCTAAATGAATAATTGATCTATTTGAATTTACTTTTGTTGTTGTTTTGTTTTCGTTTTCACAAGTTGTACTGATTTAATTTTATTATGATTCTAATAATTGAGAATCTAATCTCCTACGTTTATGTTTGATAAATTGTTAATAGTGTATTCAATGAAAAAAAAAACTTAGATTTATATTATTAATTGAAAATTCTTTTGGTATAAATTACGATTCTTAGTTTAACATAACATACGCTCCTTTTTGTAGGAAAACTACAATTTGATATCCTATAATTTGGTTCAAGTTTCCATTTTAGTTGAGATGAGTTGACTTTCCATTTTGGTTCAAGTTAACCACTAAAATGCTTTATTCTTGGTGGTTTCTTCTCGTATCTTTGTCTTCTTTAAAATTTCATGAATTAGGTTGAGTTCCATATGTAGATTAACATTATCATTATCTTCATCAAGAGTTACTTTTGACTATGCTTCTTCCAATTCAAATGAAATCAAAATGTCTGACCTATATGAAAGTTAAAAAGAGGTATACTTGGTAGAAGACTGAGGGATACAATGACAACCCCAAAGGATATTAGGTATCACTTTATCTCACAAACCTTTTGCATGTACTTGATCATTTGTTCCTTGGCGAAGGAAAATAGTTTGAGAATAAAAATTCCTCAAAGACTTAGGGGATAACTATGACATGTAGTTCTTAGAGAGTTCAGGGTCAAACTTCTAACATTCCTCGCATATTTCAATAAAGTGTTGAGCATCTTTTATAAGATTTTGTTCATAGTATCCAACTCGCAACAATAGGGAGGTCATGCTTTGTATACTCGAGTGTATTCCATACACTTTTGCACCTTTGTTTAGAATTATTTGACATGGTCATCATCCAAAACTAATTCAATATTTCAATAACATAATTAAACAAAAAATAAGTCCACAATCTTATGTACATAATTTCATACAAATATTACATAAAAAAAATCGTAAAACGAAGAATCATATCAGTTTAACTAAAGGAAATGTGAACCATAATTGAAAGACAAATAAGTTCACATACTTTATGCAAGGTCCTTTTACCTTCTGAAAAGACCTTGCAGAACGGCGAATATTTATAAAACTTGAACAAAGCATGGAAATATCATCCATAGTACTCAAGAATGCTAAATTATAACAAAAACCCAATTCATATGCCGTGAAGCAAATAACCCATATCAGGTTTTGTGCTCCATTTTCTTTTACTTGACTGAGCTTAGGTCAATAACTTAATATGATCAACTAGACAAAAGTACAACCTATAGATATAAACAAGCTTAAAAGTTAAACGAGTACACATTCTACAAAAGCAAGCACTTTCAAGCACGTAAAGGGTCACATCCTCGGGCGCATTTCTAACCCATCATTGATTTCATTATGCAAACTTCTACGACGTAAATGTTAGCGGTGTTTTTTGACAAAGAGCTTGCTTATGTCTTCTGTAACAATGTTTTGCCTGAAATTATAAAATCAGAAATCCATGAATACACACACACATATATATATATAAAGAATACACAAAATGGCATTTCAATGACGAGAATTTGAAGAACAGGCAAACTAGTATCCCATCGAAGTCTGCTTTAGAATTGCCTAAAAGAAAAGAGTAAAAAAAGATATTATGATTTTGGAATGATTATCGCTCATCATATGCATCTCGAACAGATACATCTCGCATGTGCAGATGATATACTTATAGCATATGCAGATGATCTGTAGCATGTCTGGAAGAAGTGATAGTCTCAGTTATAAAATCTAAACTGACTGGTCCGACCATAATGATATTTTTAAATTTGAACTTTTAAATCAAATTGCCTTGAATTTCATTAGCCATTTCATATATTAGCACTTTATTATGATAAAAACTTTAATTTTAGGTTAGAGTTGTCAAATTATGTTAGGCATATATAATACACTTTTAACTTTACTTTAGCTATTGCAGACTAGATTAACCAAGTTAATTAGTGATCCACTATTGGCCCATTCATGCAATGTCTTGCCCAGCTCAATAACCAGGCCCGTTTTCACGACACTTTCTCATTACTTAGAATAATTTTCAACTTTTCTCGCAGCATATAACTCTAAGTGATAGGACACCCAGTAGCTAAAGAAAGATCCAAGACAGGTTCTTGAATGATCTTATTATGAACATAGTTGTTCTTCCAATGTGGCAGGAATACAACACAAGATATCTCAGCACACACAGGTCTTCCGAGAGGACCTTAACTCCCAAACCTTTGTCCTTCTAAACTCCAAAAACTAAAAACAGCCTAAACGCAGACTATATATAATAGTTTGTTTTACAAGGTTACCATTATAAGAGGTTATAATTGCCTCTATTTATTTCTCCTAGTAATACTTTTCCACTGAACCTATGAATACCTCATCCTTGAAGTTTCACCTTGTCCTCAAGATGAAAGTCTGGAAATTCTGTGTTGATGACATCTGTAGATTCCCAACTACTCTCAATATCAGGGAGTTGTTGCCATTTGAGCAAGACTTCCATTTCACCAGGCTGCATTTCTACGGGTATGAAGCAACTTTTCTGGAGTAAATTCCAACATATATTCCTTAGATAGCATAGGGGGTAAAGGTTGAGGGAATGACACCACACTCACGGCTGGTTTGAGTAAGGACACTTGAAAGACAGGGTGGATGCAGTTGCGTTCTGGTAGGAGTAGTCTGTAAGCAACCTTTCCAATTCATTCCACCACTTCAATTGGTACTACAGCTGACCCTTCTGCAGTATTCCCATTAATTGCCACAACCAAATAACCCACATCTCCTTTCTGCAATTCCGTGATCAATCTTTTGAAAGAAGTAGCAGGGGTAGACAGAGTTGGATCTCCTACCACTGTGACTTGATTACCACCTCCACCAATAGGGAGCTTTAATTTGCTACAGTCAGCCTTAACCTCCTCCAGACTAGCTAGCCATTCAAGGCCTAAAACTACATTTGCCCCTCCCATATCAAAGATGAAGAAATCTTGACAAATTTTCAATCCTTGAATTTCCAACATCAAATTTGTGCATTTCCCTTGGCATTTTAGTTTCCTCCCATCACCTACTTCCACCACATATGTAGGAGAATCTACACATCTAAACCCACACCTTTTCATCAAATCTTTGGCGAGAAAATTATTGAAAGCCCTGCAATCTATCATCTCAACTGCAGCCAACAATTGTTTAGATGAGCCAATCTAAGAATACTGTGCAGTAACATCTTATTCTTTTATCTCATTTGTTTTTTAATTACTAATTTTGTGAAATGTAACGGCAGAAAAGTCCTATATTTAGAAAGGACAAAATATCTGAGGTCTGAAATTTGTATATCTAAAAGATAAGCTACTTGAAGAACAACTTACACATGAAAATATTGTTTGTACTAACCTTATATAAGACCTATTAATAATAACATCAAAGCACGTTATTTAAACTGTTTCCCTGTATCAAAAAGTTAATTATTTCAGCTAATTCGCATCCTAACCAAGTAATGGTAAAGGAACTATCATAAAAGTTTCTAACTCCAAAATAGAAAGTTTCCAAAGGTTCAAATTTAACACCTCTCTTATTGTTACCTATATAACTTAAATATCCACCTGCTTGAGGAGGAATGAAAATCTTATTTTATTTCTGATTTTCTGTTACCATTAATCAAAGATTGACACTCGAGCATTTTTCAAATTTCAAAGTTGCTTAAGAGAGTGCTTTAAGTTAAGAGTGGGGATTTGAAGGCAAAGGATAGGAAAGCGAAATCATTTATTTCGAAATTAAGAGTTATAACATTTATATAACGATTAAAAAAAGATTAGGACATTAAATTCATCCTAATCTACAATTTTAGTTTCACCTTAAAAAATTATTAAATTAGATAATGTTTATATGTTACAAATGAAAAAAATTACCATTTCTTACCTTTCCATCCAAAACCAAACTCCCAAAAATACCCACATAATTTCTTTCATACAAGGTGATCATGACTTGAGTAGATATGATTTTCACAAAGAATAGTTAAGAAGCCAAGATTGTTGTTAACTGACTTACTTCTACCCAAATGATTCCCAAGATAAGACACATCTTTCTTGCCATTGCCTCTTTACTAGCAGGGACGAGTTCCTTACCCAATTTTTGGAGAATTCCAACTACGGAGAAGAATAGCCCAAGATGGTTTTTAGGGGTTTACAAGAGGCCAACTCAAGCAAGGCCTATTTACCAAACAAGTTAGGTCAAATGATTCACGAAGGCTAGGCTTTAGGCCATTCAAAGCAAATAATTATAACTAGTATAAGAATGTCATTATCATTATTGTATTAAATTTTTCAATAATGTTTTGAAATTATAAATTTGTTAGTATATTTAATTTAAATGCTTAAACATGCTCCAACCTACGTACAAGTTTACAACTATTGTTCAGTAGTTTGCTAGCCTGCTTAAAAGGGTTCACTTTAAAGTAGGCTTCTAGACTAAAATCTCCCCATCGTCTCAACAAAACTAAAATAACAAGTATACAAAAACAATAAAAAGTGAAAATGCAAGCATTAAATTCATGAAATCAATATCCACATTACAAACAGATAGTCACAGCTCATTTAAAATTCAATCTAAGTGCATAACGTGCAAATTCAACTCAAGTGACCCCATGCATCAATTCAAGATCTACTAATCATTGAAATAAAATTTAAAATTAAACAAATTTAATTTCTAAAAAAAAATAAGAACAAATGCACAAATAAGTAAAAAAGCAGACCACTATCTGTCAACAAATGAGTACGAACCTTCCACTGATCTGTGGTGGAAGTAGCATACCACCAGAAGTTTCTGGAACATTCCTTGAATGAGGCAAATTTCCTCTGGGAAGTTTACTACGAACAGTGGAGGAGGCCATTCCATTTGAGTCTCTCTTCCGTGAAGCATTTTCAGCTTGAGCTGCAGCAACTCGAGAGAAGTGGTCACTAGCACTCATCAGATCTGATGAGACAGTGGGTGCATCCAAAAGAAGAGAAGCATCAGGAAGTTTCTCCACTAAAGTTCGAGATGAGTGAGTTTTATCTTCTAGTTGCTGGTTTGACGAAGATCCAGCTTTAGTCCTACATATTAAAAAAAAAACATTCATATTGAGACTAGAAGACAATGATGATCAAGAAAGGTGAAATTCTACAAGAGTTTGTTGTTGACACTTTGCATAAGACTCCAAAATCACACAGGTACGAACACTATGCAGACACACATATAAAGCATGCCTTTATCTCCAGATCCCTTTTTTTTTATGTTTTTCAGGAAAGCGGAGTTTTTACAGATCTAGCTCACTGATGCAGTTATGATGGTTCTTTATGGTTAACATGTATCTTACGCAAAAATCATGAAAAAAGTATACATTACATTTTTTTACAATAGAATGAAATTATAATTAGAAGAGATACATGGGTAAGATCTAAGAATAACAAAATGGAAAACCAAATTGAAAAATATAGAATTCAAAGAAAAACATTTCCATCTCAGGAACAAGTAACTACTCCACTGATTTAAGATTTTAGAAGAGGTTAATGAGCAATTACTTATTGACTTAATCATCGCTTGAATGGTTATATGTTTCTATTTTTGTGACGCGTTTTACCAAAAAATAAAATTTGGTAGTTTTTTCCATAAGAAACCCATTGTACAACATCCTCACAAATAATTGGGAAAAAAGGTAAAATAAAAATCAAATTATATGAGCAAGAACAATTCTTCATGCGATTCGTACAATCTCCAATGAGAATCTTATTGTATCATGAATTGCATGATACTGACTACTATAGTAAAAACCCATAGGCACAAGCCAATCAAGCTCCAATACAATAAAAAATGTGTACGAAAGAGTCGAATCAAAAGACAAGAATTTGCCTACAACCAACCAATACATCAAAGTAATAATGTTTTCAAATATAATGAACAATTAAAGAGAGACCTAAAACAGAGCATGAGTGTGGGATTGATAGGATTTAATATGATAGGTTATAATGGGTATTAGGTGTGCAGGAGAGAGAAAACAGTTGAAGAATTAATTGTTCAGTTTAGGAATTAATTGTTGTTGGGTAGTTAGAAGTGGGCTGCCTTTATAAGAAGGCAAGGGAGGGTCTGGTAGAGAGGGAGTTTTTGATATCAATTGTATAGACAGGAACCTTGATCCTGGAGGGGGATTATGCTCCCAGTTACTGGTTGTACATGACATTGGTTGATGTGTATACATATTTTCATTCTTTTCTTACCATTTGGGTGCTATTGGTGAGTGTGTGCTGTGAGACAGTTAGGTTTCATACCCAGAAACCTAACAGGGATTGTTTTCTCTAACCTCAAACCTCCAATTTGTGATCCCAACATTCAAAATGAAAAACCACACAATGTAAACCTTTTGTCAAAGTTTCATCTTGATCCAAAGGTGAACAAAACAGGAATCTTAATCTTACAAATGCAGCTCAATGATTTGCCAACAAAATTTTCTTTCTCTTTTGTCTCTCAGGCTGTGATTTTTCACTCACTTCTAGCCTAGAAGATTCCTCTCACCACAGCTAAACTTAGCACAGTTCTAATGGATGACATTTTCACCACAAGTAAGAAAAAATCATTGAAATCAACACCCTATTTCTATCTAAAGTCATTCACCACTAATTTGGCCTTGTACCTTGGAGATGTAGAATTACCATCCAGTTTCACCATGAAAATCCACCTGGTCTCCAAAGCCCTTTTGCCCTTAGGCTATCACAGGAGTGCTACATTAAGGTGTTGTAAAGATTCTAGATGGAAAAAGCTAAAGTTATGAGCACTCCTCTTGCTACTCATTTTAAATTGAGTGTTAAAGAGAGTCCTTCAAATGAAGTTGAGAAGACATATATGAGCAAAGTTCCTTATGCATCTGCAATGGACAGTTTAAAGTATTGCACATGGTATTGCTATAGTCAATCGATTTTTGTTAAATTCAGGTAAAGAGCATTGCAATGCTGTAAAATGGATTTTGAGATCTTTATGGTAGTAGTGATTTAAGGCTTTTTTTTGGAGGTGATAAACCTACTTTGATAGGTTACTTAGACTTACATATAGATGAAGACATTGATTCTAGAAAGTCCACTTCGAGATATTTGATTAAGTTTGTAGAGGGAGTTGTGCTTGGAAATCAAGGCTACATAGGTGTGTAGCATTGTCAACTACATAATTCATTGTCATTATAGAAGAATGCAAGGAGTTGCTATGGCTGAAAAAATTCTTGCATGACCTTGGTTTTTTGCAGAACAACTATCCATACAGATACAACGATGTTGATGTGGTGGCTAAGGCATTGCCAACGTAGAAGTTTGACACTTGTTGTGNAAATTCAGGTAAAGAGCATTGCAATGCTGTAAAATGGATTTTGAGATCTTTATGGTAGTAGTGATTTAAGGCTTTTTTTTGGAGGTGATAAACCTACTTTGATAGGTTACTCAGACTAACATATAGATGAAGACATTGATTCTAGAAAGTCCACTTCGAGATATTTGATTAAGTTTGTAGAGGGAGTTGTGCTTGGAAATCAAGGCTACATAGGTGTGTAGCATTGTCAACTACATAATTCATTGTCATTATAGAAGAATGCAAGGAGTTGCTATGGCTGAAAAAATTCTTGCATGACCTTGGTTTTTTGCAGAACAACTATCCATACAGATACAACGATGTTGATGTGGTGGCTAAGGCATTGCCAACGTAGAAGTTTGACACTTGTTGTGAGATCATCGGATTGGTTGTCACCTCCACATAGTTGTAAGGGTGTAGATGTGTTGGGTTGGTCTCCCAACTATGTCTAAACAATCGAATTTAGTCAAGCCCACTTTTGTCTCACTTAACCTAAGTGAGAGGGGTCTTCATCGTAGCCTTTAGGAGAGAAAAGAGGGAGAAAAATTTGTTGGCAAATTCACTGAGCCACATCTGTAACTTTGACAGAAGTTTCACAGCATATGGTTCCTCATTTTCATTGTTGGGATCATCAATCATAGGTCTGCGGTAAGAGAAATCAGTCCCACATATTGCTCTATTTTAGGACTCTCTTTTATTGTTCATCATATTTGAGAGCAACATTGTTTTGATGCATTAGCTGATTATAGACACTTGCTTTTGCTTTCGATTTGACTTTCTTATACCCATATTTGATCATATTAGAGCTTGATCGACTTATGCCCATAAGTTTTTACTTTGAAAGGGTTTTTACTTCTCACATTAAGAGGGTTTTTCTACATTAAAAATATTGATACTTTCTTTTGTAATTATTGTTACCATTGTCTATTGTTGTTGCACCTCATAGATTTTTGCAAGTTTGAAGGATTATTTCGCTGCATACTTTAGTATGTTAGCTTGTGTTATCGTTTCCCCATCAAAGTGGTATCAAAGCCAATTGTAAATCTTGGTGTTTGACTCATATGAGTACAGTATGGTCCTTGTATCTAAATCTTTCTAATAATGGGTTCAGGTAAGCATGTCTAGTTAAGATGAAAGGCAGTACTAAAGGGGTACTCATGATTGGAAATGTTTCCGCTTAAGAGTGAATGTACCAATGTGAAAGGGACTCATCCTTAAAGGGAATATTGGTGGGAATCTAAGTGTGAGGCTTAAGTCCCACATTGGGTAGAGATGAAAAATTTAAACACCATATAAGGATGAAGACCTATAAACTCATTGCTTTAAGGTTTTGGGTTGGAGGTGGTGTCCATCCCTTAAGTGGGTTAGACTCAGGTCTCATTATTTTTGTGTCTCCCCAATAAGTTCTTTCCTCCAAAGATCCTTCACACACCACCCAAGAGACCATGTGAAACCCAATTTGCCACCACATTGTAGTAGGTTGTGAAAAGTTTGTCACCAAAATCCAATATGGTGCCACCATGGTTGTTTTTTCAATTACACTGGTTACAAAACCAACAATATGCTATTTAGCCCCCAATCTGTATCACATTCTATAAATAATCTCTTCTTAATCAAATCAAATGACAGTGGAAAATTAATTATTCAGTTTATTTTATATTTTCTCCTTCATTATTTGTTACAACTACCAAAATGAAAGTTATGAATATGGTTCTGAATGGACAAGTTTCTCAATAAGTACTTTCAGAAAAAAAAAATGAAATGAGATTCTTCAAGATTTAAAATTAGTTTTTGCATAAGCTAATTTATAGAAACCCTCTGATATAGCTTCTCTAAATTCTTATCATCAAAACAAATTTATTGAAGATCTCACACCAACTACATAAATGGCCAAATTGTAGTATATAAGGTGCAAATCTCTCCTTGTTCATCAGTTTTATAGGTTTGAGTTAATCCTAAATTCACTTTCTAAAATGATATTAAATTATATCCTAGCAAGGTTTATTATGCATGTAATGTTACTCGATATCTAATACTTGAGAAAGATACAAGGGAATTACAATGAATTTGACTGTGTGTTTCCCTGTCTTAAGATTTCATATTTATAATAACTTTGGATACATCAGATACAGTGTATGAGAGAGAAGAGAAGAGAATCCGTAAAGATACATCTAAAAACTAGGTTCAGCATAAAGCACACAACACCTTACAATATAAATCCTATCTAAGACTATTTATTCTAACACTAACTATCCATAGATATCTAGTCTCGTGTTCAAGATACCACATCAGGTAGAGATATAGCCAAATTATATTATATAAAGATTAAATCTCATCTTATAAGTCATTTCTATAAAGTTGAGTTAGGCCTATAGTTACTTTCTAATTAATAGAAGGGTCATATGATAAGATGGGCCTAAAGATGCCTAAAAGAAGGAAAATTAATTGGATCAAGGATCTTATATTTAATTCCCTAAAGTTACATGATGACACTTGTAGGGTCACCATTTAATTGTCGGTATCTCTAAAGTGTACCCTTCTTTACTGTAATCAATCAATGAAAAATGAAAATGTTTTTTATCTTCTAGCTATCGATGGTTATTCACAGGTAGTTTTTCTTAGTTTTACAGTATCTTAGTCACTTACTATCATCATCAGTTACATGCTTCCACCCCACCTATTTCCTAATTGTGCTTCTATTAGGGAATTCTCGGCAGCGATCACTCGCCACCCATGTCTTCAGCTAAAATCTGGATTAAACCAGAAAGTTAACCATAAACAATTGCTATATATGTCAAGTCCCAACATTCATCTTTTAGTTCAAATAAGTTAGCAGGTGTAAGAAGCAAAACAAGTTGTTCCCCGAGATTGTATTAAGCCTACACTAACTACTACGTTTTTCACTTTTCCCATAGCAAGAGTTCCGAATTCCTTTACCTCACCTTCTCTACCCCTCATATGATTTAAGCTAACCCCCAAACCAATTCCACGTCTAACTATGTAAACCATCCCAACCAGTTTGCCTTATTTTCCTTTTACTCGTCGGTTTGGATTCTACTACTGCCATACTATTGTTCACTACTGTTGCTATGCTTTCAAGCAATCCACATCACTCTGATAGTCATAGTCCCTTCTTTGTATATCATTGTCCATTAAATAAAGTAGAAAGTAATACAAAAATTAATAAAAACTCCTAACATTAAAAGTTAGTATTCTATTGACTCTAAACCTAAAATGCCAGCCACAACATTAACAATTGCGAATGAACACAGAAAAACTATTGGTATATTACCAAAATAACGAGCTACTACAACTCTACGGAAACAAATGCTGAAATGAAAAACTTTGAAAAAAAAAAATCATAAAGCAATAAGAATAACTTTAGTGAAGAAGCAAAGAAAAAGGAAATTACTGAGAACGAGGAGGAGGAGGAGGTGGTTGGGGTTCCTCCTCTTTCTTGCGTTCTTCTTCAGTGGGTTCTGGAACATCGTCGTCTGAAGAGGAAGCGTAATCAACAAGCGACATTTTTAGTCCGTTTGAGAGTTTCTCTCCGTCTTCGCCGGCGTTCAAGTTGCGGTGGCTCTCAGCCGTTAACGGGATTTTTGGTTTCTTCAGCGGTGAGGATTGCACTTCCTCTTTCTTAAAAAACTATATGTCAAAGACATTAATAGCTCACAATTTTATTCAAAAGATCAAATATATTTTTAATAAAAAAAAAACATTTTGGTGTACAATTGAATAGCGCGTATCATTGCTTATATAATGTTTTTCTCTTTTCTACTTTTGTAATTTTTGTCTGTCGTTCCTAATAAAAAATATATCTTTCTCTTTGATTTTTATGAACTTTTTATTAATATTTCGTCCATATCTTCTAATTGTATGTGTATTTATTTTTTATAATTCACACTAAATTTGTATATTTTTTTTATCTTAATACATTCTTTTCTCAATTTAGTCTTTTACAAAACAAAATGGTTTTAGTGATTATTATTTATTTATTTATTAAATAATATTCATTAAGTAATTTCTATCAATCAATCTGTAACAATATATAATAAAAAAATGTGTAATAAATTATTTTTCTAAACTTACCTTAAATGTAACTATTTTATTTATATATAATAAATAACTTTCTTACGACTATTTTATTTAACTTTTATTTTTTTTTTCGATATCTCTTTTATAAAAAGTTAGAAAAGATAATCAATTTTTTTTCAGTTTTATTATTTTTCAAAATTAATTAGAGGTGTACTCCTTGTCATTACCTAATATCATGTCATTACCTAATATCAATGTATTTTATGATCAATCCATTGCTTGAATTGCTATAAAACACCAATAACTTTTGACTTTAACCTAAGAAAATAGACCCAAAACATTTTTGAGTAGTGATCAACAAAAATAAAAAAATACCTGTTACCATTGGGAGATGAAGAGTTGTGAGGACTAGCCACATTCATGTGTATCAATTGTAGCTTCTTAGTAGCTCTCCAAGTTAATTGCTGAAATGGAAGTCTTGCTTTCCTTATTGAGAAGCTCTTCATTCTAGAATTTTAGATTCAAGATACGGGAGGCCTTGAACTAATAATTCTATTATTTGCAAATTCACAGCAATTATATGATTGAAGCGTCCAATCTCTTTTGTGCTAAACTTCAGTTCCTTTCATTTTTACTGTGAACACAGTTGTCATTTGCATCTTGGGTCAAACACTTTTTAAAGATAACTTTGAAACCTTTTTTAATTAACTAGCCAACTCTCAACATATTTTGACTAATATTAGGTAAAAATAACATATTTTTCTTGTGACTTGTGAGAGTAAAAAGTGAGAATGAAAATATGTATAAAATTCTTAAGTTAATGAACTCATGGGATGGATGTGATAATTAAAAACAAATTTAATATTCCTCCCTTTTCTCCCTTTTTTTAATATTTTATTTTATTATTATTATTATTATTATTATTATTATTATATTTTTGTTATTCAGTTAAAGTTTGAAAATCTAAAAGACATGTTTTTATATAGATCTTTTTTGAAAACAAATTTATTTTTTCGAACGAGATTGGTTGTTGACACCCTCCATTATGGATGAAGTTTTATTTTTCTTAGACCTCTAAGGTTTTATGTTTTAACCACACCCAGTAATCTTTAAGAGTCAAGGTCTAAGACAGATCAAATACTTTTTTCTCTTTTTTATCTTTCAAAACCGTAACATAACTCTAGTATCCAAAGCAAACAATGTCTGAGGAACTAGATTGGGTAAATGCAGATCTATCCTTTGTAAAACACAGATCAAGATACTAGATTGGGTAAATGCTGCACGTTTCCTTCGCTGGCCAACCCGCAATATTATGTCACAAATCTTGCAATACAAAGTTGGTGACAGATTGACACCAGATGAGTTGAGAGAATGCCGTGATAGTGAGACCCATTCACATTCTAAAGATTTCATTCAAAATTGGTGATGGAGAACACGACTACTTAAGAACAATTGCTGCGTTCCTTAGAGCCAGGTATCTTTGAACATACTCATTAGGAAGAGATCTGATGATTTTGAAAACCTCAGTATTTGCGTACCGAAGATTAGTTCTAGGATCATGGTAAGGTGCCTGCAGCATAAAAATTATAATTAATTAAACAGAGGTAAAAGCACATTCCACCAATATATATGCATAAATTCTTGTTAGCATGCAGCCAGTTCAATTAACAAGCTGCTCAAATGAATACTAGAGTATGAGATCGCAATTTGACAACTTACGCAAAAGAAATAGACAAGACATCTAATATTTTCACAAATTCTGTAGAAGGCAGTTGAGAGTCTTTTTACATATATACTAAGTAAACTACTGCATACAAGAATAACTGTCATTTAAGTCTTAGGGTAAAACTTTTATTACAAACACCAAATGGGCTACCAGTAATGATCGATCAAATCATATAATTGTAATTCAGAAAGAATAATAAAGATCACAACATACCTCAAAGCCAGTAATATCACAAATTTTCTTGCAGGGATGCATAGATGGAGGTGACTCAATATTGACATCTGCAATCCAAATTAAAAATATAAAACTAAAATTCGTTGGCAAGGATGGCATACGTATACGTAAGTGGCAAACATACATACAAATAGCCAATATTGAAATACATTACATAGCCTCTGAAGAAAACAAGACCTAAGTTTAATTGAAAGAGATTTAAGTAAACTGGAAGAATTTGCATTAGTAAATTTGTTAAAGTACAAGTACATGTATTTACATAAACTTAGTAGCTTTCATAGACTAGAATATAGAGAAAGAGAGAATATACAATAAACTGAACTGTTATTTTCTATTCAGTTTGATCCGATTACAAAAGGGAGTATTTATAGGATGAAACTAACTCTAAGCTGTCGTTACCAACTGACTAATAGAATAGCTTGCACACCAAGCTACGCTAATTAGACAGCTCAGTATAACTGCCTGCAGTTAGTAAAAACAGATACTAAAGTGATTACGACTGTAAACTATTTTATATTCAATCATTGTTAATTTTTCATATTTTTTGCACAGAAAACATCTAAATTAATTTCTTTGGAAAGTACAAACAATGGGAATAATAACTCACAATTGGGTTCATCAGGAGGGTAGTTCTGGTAATTCTCAGCTTGAATTATCTGCTTCAGATGTTTCCAGTGCCTGCCTCTGGCTTGGCCTTTAGGATATTTCTCGTACATTTGAACTTTCTTAAAACTAAGATAGCTTGGCAACACAAGCTCTGCATCCACCACCTCTGTCTCCATTTTACCCTTCATTAGCATAGTAAACAAACTGTTAGACCTCTTATAAGGAAACACTATAAGAGGAGAAACCAGTTTTTTTGTTTTTTTGTTTTGTAAGTCCCACATCGATTAGAGATAAGACCAAATTATAATATATTAGTGGAGTGCAAACCTCACCTTATAAGCCGGTTCTGTGAGGTTAAGTTAGGCTTAAAACTCACTTTCTATTATGCAGGGTCTACAGAAAGTAGGACAGTTATTGTAATAATTATTGACAGTTTTTTAATTAGGTTGGCACTTTTAATGTTCGTTAGAGTGCAGACATAACTGTTTTTAGGCAGTTATGGGGACTGAGAGAAATAGGGAAAGGGGGAAAGGGAAAAAGGGTATCGGGAAAATAGAAAAGAATCAGGGAAGGGAGAGAACCAAGCTCTCGGCAACTTGGTATGTGTGTATTGTTCAAGTGTGTTTTGTTCAGTTCAGTGTGTTATGTAATTCTGGTATTCCAATACCTATTCCAGTGAATTAAATTCAGTGTTTAACTTCTATACCAGTTGGTTTCTACACAAACTTTCTTCATTAACTGCTTTTTTTTTTGAAACATTATAAAAAATAGCATAGCAGCAAAGAAACCAATAATCACAAGGTCTTAAAAAGCAAAGCACCATAGATGTCAACAACCTTTACAGGGAAGTTTTGAACTCGAATATAAAACCAAACCAAAATAAACTGGCAAAATAGTTTGGTTTGGAAAATAATTTAGTTTTTGGTGAATGGTTTAGGTTCAGAACCAGCTATTGGTCAGATTAAAACAAAGTCAAAACCAGTTTATAACATGAGAAAACTGGGTTTTCCAAGTGAAAACAGGTTGTGAACTAGCAACAAGAATATTTCGAACCTGTTAGGTATAGTGATAATTTTCAAGTTTCAAAAAATAATATTTCAAACCAAGACACGTTCAAGTAAAATAAAGCTGAGTTGGATATTTTACTGACCTTTAAAACAATACAAAAATACTGGTTTATTATTCGTTTTCTTTTACAGTTTCCTTCTTGATGTTCAAATCTCCCAATCCCTTCTCCAAACCCCAATTTCCCTCACTCTTTGATTTCCCATTCGAGGGCAGAGACGGCCACGCAAAACCTTTATCATTTTTTAACTTTGCATTTAAAATTCCAGGGGACTATCCACAAATCGATTTGGTACTTACGGGTTTATGTTAAATAGTAGGAATTCGGATGGGTGGGGAGAGGGAATTAAACAACCAAAACCTCGCGTAGAAATTCGGATGGGTCGGGAGAGGGAATTAAACAACCAAAACCTCGCCGATTAGGTGAAAAATAGGAGGATATTGGCAAGGCTCTGAGCAAGCTGAAGACTAGCAACAACATTTTCAAAAATGAAAACCAAAAAAGGTTGGAAGCGAAAATTCAGTCAAAACTAGGTTTGGTTTTTCAGATTTCCAAAAGATACCATCCTGAACAGCGCCTTAGTCATTCGTGTGCAAAGGGGTTTTCTTAGTCTTAACCCTATAAATGTAATGCAATCGATCAAAATTTTCTTCAACCAGGCGATCTTTTTTTAATAAAGTTAATAGGGTTATCAATAGCTGACGGAGGCGAACGGTGGTAAGCCAAAAAACCGCCATCCACGCGGTTTAAGCTAGGGAGAACAAAATATGTAGGTGAGTGTGAATTTTGTGGGTCTTGACAGTGTCAACAAAAAACTGGAAACAGCATTTTAAGATTAATAAAAAATGAAATGCATATAACAACATTCATGAAATTAAATAAGAAAAACAGAGAACTAAATTCTGAAATCATGAAAAATCAAAGCTCAAGAATATTGAACAGATGAAGAACATGAACAGTCACACTGAGAACAAGAAGTGAGAAAACAAATAAACGAGAAAAGGCGATTAGAAATGGAAGGAAGAAGAGGACTGAAAATTAAAAGAAGAAACCTGTTATGGTCACCGGAAAAGCTTGCCGGAGAAAATACGGCCGCTGCAGCTTTCCCAGTGTCACACTTTCACGAAACTTACGACACAGGAAGAGAAAATGCGTGCCTAACGGATGATAATACAGAGCCGTCGTCCATCCCCAAAAACACTGTAGTGCAATGACTGTTGTTTTAATATTGTTTTTATTCAAAGGATATATTACACAATAATATATATATATATATATATACACATATATAAATATTGAATTTTAACCTATTAAATTAAATAATATAATAAAAAAATGAGAACACATAATGGCAATTGCACTTGTATTTTTGCTAGTTAATGTAATTTTAGTATTATTACTGTGTAACGATGATAGAATTTTTTTCTTAATTTTTTTTTTTGAAATATTATACCCAAATAAAATCACTGCCAAAGGTTTTGGAAAACTTTGTTTTGAAAGTAATTATATATATATATATATATATATATATATATATATATATATATATATATATTTAATTTTAACCTATTAAATTAAATAATATAATAAAAAAATGAGAACACATAATGGGAATTGCACTTGTATTTTTGCTAGTTAATGTAATTTTAGTATTATTACTGTGTAACGATGATAGAATTTTTTTCTTAATTTTTTTTTTTGAAATATTATACCCAAATAAAATCACTGCCAAAGGTTTTGGAAAACTTTGTTTTGAAAGTAATTATATATATATATATATATATATATATATATATATATATATATATATATATATATTAATTTAAATATTTTATTCGCTCAAAATAAATTTATTTTTGTGTATACTTATAAAATAATAATTATTAATTTGAAATACTATGAATTAATATTAAAAAATGTTATGATACCATAAAATCAATAGATTAGTAAATTTGTTGCTATTAATTTAAAAATTATTATTGAAAATAAGAATTATTAACGTAAACATTGTGTTACTCTTTTAGTTCGGTTGTCTTAAATTAGTTTATTAAACGCACTTGAACCTGTCTTTTAAATTGATAGAACTTTCTTTTTCAACCTTTATTTTATATTATATAATATTTTCAATAATTGAATCTAATGGTATGATATAAAGATTTATTGGCAAGAGCTTATAAACAAAGAGTTAAAATTTAAAAAGAAAAGAAAAAAAAAAGCAAAGGTTCTTATAGAAAGTAAGTCAAATAATAAAGCGTTGACCTTTTTAAGATTATATTTAAGTAACTTCTTTTTGTGATTCTAATTGCTCTCTACACCTAAAGGTATATTAAAATTTATTAGTGTGAACATATGGATATTTTTTGAGATGATTTTGGTCTTTAATAACGAATTTGTTGAACATTTTATATTATATATATGGTTTAAGATAAAAAAAATATATATACTTTAACACACATAATCTTTTACATTTAACATTATCTTTTCTTATTTTTTAATTTTGTTTTTGAAAAATTATAAAATAAATTATTCTTTTAAAACATTTTTCCTTATTAAATGTGTTAAATAAATGTCAATATATGTCATGACATTCACTGTGACTCTCAGTGTTTGGCCTTAAAAATCATAAATTCTCAAGAATTGCCTTGATAGATATAAGTTATCTGATTGGGGTTACTTGGTTTCAAAAGTTACTTACATTTGCAAATATGTTATTTTTTGTTTAGTTCTTATAATTATATATTTTAGTTCTACACATAATTTTTCTTTTCGTGTTTATTCTCTATTAATATATTAATTATTTCAGTCTTTAAAATTACATTATTTTTCACTTTTGCATCAGTAATGTATTTATGATGGAAAATTTTCCAATTTGCCAGCATTTCGAACCCCATCTCAGATCACTGTTCCGATGTAGTTTTCCTCGTCCCAATCCATGAGTTATGAAGCTTGTCAAACATAAAAATTAAACAGTTTTGTTTGATTTGCTGTTGAAAAAGCGTTGAACATCAAGCCAACATTTTCTCCCTGTCAGATGAACATGAAAAGAGATGGTCTAAGTGCATGTTTAATTTGATGATTGAAATCGAGGATGTACTAAATCTTATGACCAAGAAGAGATGGTCTATAAAACACATGGCTTTGGGCAATCTCAATGCGGTCACGGGGATCATTCGTGGTCTCGTCTCTTAATGCTTGAAGAATGGCCTGGGTTGGATATTCCCTGCAGATCAAGGTCAAAAACCGTTGAAAAAGCTGGTTTAAATAATTGAATTCTGTTCATACATTTTTCCTTCATGCAAAGGTGAAAAATGAGGTAGCAAAATGTTACCTTGCTATCAGAATTCTGTATAACATCTTCAAGATGGGACAAAGCTCCACTGGGGCTACATGCTTGTTTTCTTCAGGATTTAGGACGTTTAAGCTGGAGTGACTAAGTAGCTCATAGAAGGCCCTAACAGCAGAAACTCCCTAACATGCAAACAAGGGTAATTATTGAACAGCAATGTCCAAACTTTAAGAAGAAAAAACAAGTTTTATTATATTCTTTTCTTGACTAAAATTTTACACATAAATAGAAAGGGCTGAAAAAGGGAAAACCATAAAATCTGGAATCTCCTCAATCAGCACATCTCAAGAATATTAAAAAGGGAAAAAAGTATTTCAACAATAAAATCTAAAAATAACTTCAGAACTTCGCTATTTTATAATTATTCTTTCCTAAAATAGAATAACAAGTATTTCTCCTAAAATCCGACACCTCCCTCCAGTCGGAGCATAGGTCTAACATGTCCAACTTGCTTACAAACAATTTAAAACTAGGCTTGGGAAGCCCTTTGGTGAAAACACCTGCTATTTGTTTCTTAGAGGTAACAAATGACAACCAAATAGCTCCAATCTTCTCCTTGATGAAGTGTGTCCGTCATGTTCTATGTGCTTTGTGCGATTATGCTGAACAGGATTTTGAACAATGATTATGGCAACTTTGTTGTCGCAGTACAACTTCCTTAACATTTGTATGGGCATCCGAGAAACTCTTGAAGAGTTATTTTCAGCAAAGCATATCACACGTCTCACTAGCCAAGCTCTACATTCTTGCTTCTGCAGAATTCCTTGCTACAACATATTGTTTCTTATTTTGCCAAGTCACCAGATTTTCTCAAACACAAGTACAATATCCTGAAGTGAATCTCCTATTAGTTACTAACCTATCCAATGTGCATGAGTATATACCTCTATATTTTGTTATGGAGTCTTCTGAAAGAGTAAACGCTTGCCTGGAGTAAATATCAAGTATCTAAGGATCTCATATACTGCTTCATGATGCCTTTGAGATGATGAATGTATAACTCTATATCTTTCCTTCTTATGTAAAGCTTTTGATTGGGGTCAATTGGAGTGTCTACTGGTCCACACCACTCATTCTTGCTTCCTTAAGAAGATCCAAGAACATACATCCCTTGTGACACCATAATCCTCTGTTTTAAATGAGTAACCTCCCTACCAAGAAAATACATAAAGGATCCTAGGTCCTTGTTTTCAAATGTTTATGACATGATGTCTTCAAGCAGTTCATTTCAAACACATACTCTCCTACTAGAATTATATCATCAGTTCATCAGTACTGTTAATATGGAGATCTTGTAAATGTTCGAAGAACATTGTGTGATCACCTTGTCGTTGTGCGTACCCATGACTTTGAAGTAAACTGAGTGAACTTCTCAAACTTAGCCCACTGTTTTAACTCATTACCAGCTTGCACACTATTGTGCCAAACTTCTCTCCATATCCTGGAGGGGCTTCCATATATACTCTTCCACTAAATCTCCATTGAGGAAGGCATTTTTGACATCTAATTGTCCTAGGGACCAGTCAAAAGTGGCTGCAAGAGATAAAAGAACTCACTCTAATGGAGTTTGGCTTAGCAACAGGGCTCAGAGTAATCAATGCCATATGTGAGTGCGTGAACCCTTTTGCTACTAGATGGGTCTTATATCGTTCTAGAGAACCATCTCAATCATACTTAATTGTAAACACCCATTTGCAATCTATAGTTGGCTACCCACCTGGTTGGTGAACTAGGACAATTAAGCAGTAAAACTTTATTTCCTCCACTGATAATCATCAGAAGATATTTCACATAAATAGAAGACTAAATGCTGAAAAAAAGAAATTAATAAAATCTGGAATCTCCTCTTTTGGCAGATCTCTAGGATATTAAAAAGGGAAAAAATCCTTCAAGAATAAAATCTGAATAATTTCAGGTCTTCCCTATAGTCTGAGGTAATAATTTCAGATCTTTGCTATTTTATAATTACTCTTTCCAAAAATAGAATAGCAAGTATTTATCCTAAAAAGCCGACAAAATCTTAGTTTATGAAGCAAGATTATTACATTTTCCCTTCACATATTTTCTTCTGTAAGTGCTTATAAAGATTGTCCAATAGAGCCTTAGTTCAAATTTAAATTTTATTCATTTTCAGTTCCTAGTTTTAACAAAAAAAACAAAGTATTTTGTCCCTCACAAGTCATGAAGGACTAGAAGCACGTGATTTTGCAATTAAGAATGGTTTTAAGGAAATTACATAAGATTTTATATTGTTATTACAATAGCAGTTGCGGTTTTATTGCAATCCTTGAAATTGCTGATGCGGCCACAAATCCTAGTCATAGACTGTTTTTTAAAACCTTGGAGATTATTATAAAGAAAATACAGTTATAGGGATCAAATGTATATGTATGACTAATGACTTTCTTCTTTCTTATCTGACAGCATGACAACCATTATCCCCAAGTCACAAACATGTTGAAATTTGAATGTACAAAATTTATACCTGAATCATCCCCTTGCCCTTGATATTGTCACCCATTTCAAGATTCAATTCCCCTTTGGCCAACTTCTGTCCATACCATGCATTACGACCTTTCAACAAAGTTACATAAGTATCAGCCAAAAGTGGCCCTGCAAGTTTCTCTGGTTCTTCTGCCAATAGATGAGTGATAAATATCATCTCTGAAGTACAGTGAGCAAAGTATACCGATTTGCTGGTGGCACTTTCATTTGTTAAAGCAGCAACCATTCCTATTAAATAGAAATATCATGAATACAGTTTATTAAATGTGATATGATACATCAAAAGAGGTTGCTCTACCTGGCGTAAAATTCATTCAAAGTTCAAAACATCAACACTCAAAAATATAA